TTTTTGGTGCCGTGACCCGGATGTAACTGAGGTTTAGGGGGTGAGTGTAACAAAGGCCTGGTACTAAGAACTATGCATGTAAACCTCATACCTCTTGCCCACTAGCACACTGGCAGCTGACTCTAAAGTTTGTGGTACTCAGGGTCTATGTTAATTCGGAGAAGAAGGTTTACAAATATTTGCACATGACCTGGATTTGATCTATTATATGATTTCAGTATAACTGAGATCTAGTAAGGGCTGCATGGATAAACCTTATTCACCTGATCTAAAGAGATGCAATAATGACTGACCCTAAAAGTTGTGTTCTTTTGGAAACTCTGCCATGCTATAAACACTGGTTACAATACTGCTTATAGAAGAGAGAATAAAACCAAAGGGGTGACATTAGTGCTTTGACCAGGAAATGAACGAGATTTAGAAATGTGGATGTAATACCGGCTTGTATGATCTGTAACTTTAAACTTTACTCTCCTTGGTTCAGCCATAGGTGTTACTCAAACACTTGTTTATACTGTGGAAAATTAATTTAGTAAAGAGAGTACTTCATATGAACCAGACACCTTATAAGCACTCTATACCTTTTTCAACCACATTTACCACAAAACATTATTCAAAACAGAGTGTGCTTCACATGTGTTGGACTTGACAAACCACCTGCAAGTCACACACTTTGACCTCTCTGTTTACACCAGACGCTTTCTTATCAACAATTCATGTCTCTGAAAACATTTCTTAGTGTGCGTCACACAGGTGTGACTGGGCTTGACAAACCACCTGTAGGACACATTCTAACCTCCAAATTTTACCCTCACCTGTAAGTTGCATTGGATAAATAATCTACTAAATGTACTAATTATCTGGTTACCCACATTCTTCAAAATATCACTTTTGGGTGAATGTCTAGATATATGTTTAGAGAAATGTTTGGACCAACTTCTTATGTATATCCATTGTTTTTTTGTTTTTGTTTTTCAGATGGATGAGATGCAGTGGCCTAATGGTGAGATGGAGATCCCCAGCTCGGTCTGCAGTCTTCCCTGTAAGACAGGTCAACGCAAGAAGATGGTGAAAGGCATGCCATGCTGTTGGCACTGCGAGCCCTGCGACGGCTACCAGTACCAGTACGACGAGACCTCTTGCAAGCTGTGTGCCTACAACATGCGCCCTAACCCCAATCGTACCGCCTGCCAGCCAATCCCAATTGTCAAACTGGAGTGGCACTCTCCCTGGGCCGTCATTTCAGTCTTCCTGGCAATGCTCGGCATCATCGCCACCATCTTCGTCATGGCAACGTTTATCCGCTACAATGATACGCCAATCGTCAGAGCATCTGGGAGGGAGCTCAGCTACGTTCTGCTAACTGGGATCTTCCTATGTTACATCATTACTTTTGTTATGATCGCTACGCCGGATGTGGCTGTGTGCTCCTTCAGACGAATCTTCCTCGGGTTGGGAATGTGTATTAGTTATGCGGCTTTACTTACCAAGACAAACCGAATTTATCGGATCTTCGAGGAAGGGAAGAAGTCAGTTACTCCGCCGAAACTGATTAGCCCGACGTCTCAGTTAGCAATCACATCTAGCCTGATCTCCGTCCAGCTCTTAGGGGTGCTCATATGGTTCGGTGTGGATCCTCCGAACACCATAATCGATTATGATGAACAGAAAACCATAAACCCAGAGAAGGCCCGAGGGGTTCTGAAGTGTGACATTACGGACTTACAGATCATCTGTTCTCTAGGATACAGCATCTTGTTAATGGTGACGTGTACAGTTTACGCCATCAAGACGCGAGGCGTTCCGGAAAACTTCAACGAAGCCAAACCCATCGGCTTCACCATGTACACCACCTGCATTGTGTGGCTAGCATTCATTCCTATATTCTTCGGGACGGCACAGTCGGCGGAAAAGGTAATGCTTGGTTTTATACTTTTCGCAATGTGTTTATGCTTACGGTTTTGGCAATCACATCCGCTTGCGCTTTGTCTGTTCACCAAGGGATAGTTTACCAAATAAATTACACTCTGTCATAATTTAATTACTAACTCCATTTGTCCTAATGCTGGTTGAGTTTTTTTTTTTTTTTTTTCTTCTGCTGAATAGAAAAGAAGGTATTTTGGGATATGGTAGCCATTGACTTCTCTTACATACGATGCATTGCAAAATTTTCTGCCGAAGGGCACTTATTGGCCACGATTTTGAAGGATGGACACTTCAGGCCATGATAATGACAATAATAATTAATAATTCCTTACATTTATTTTCTGGACACTCAAAGTGCTTTACACATTTTTGGGGGGATTTCCTTTACCACCACCAGTGTGTAGCATTTACCTGGATGACGCGATGGCAGCCATATTGTGCCAGACCCGCACACAAGCTGATTGATGTCTGATAGACAGAGTGATGAAGCCAATTATGATATGAGGATGGTTAGGAGGCCATGATGGACAGATGCCAGTGGGTAAATTTGGCCAGGATACCAGGGTATGCAGGTAAACCCCCTAGTCTTTTTCAAAGGACATCTTGGGATTTTTAACAACCACAGAGAGTCAGAACTTCGGTTTAACGTCCTATCTGAAGGACATTTCTCACTGACAGTATCCCCATAAACATACTGTTATCTATCTTCCCACTTAAATCTAGAGGCAAAACACAGCTAGGAAAGAACAAATGAAGGAAGAGGGGAGAGTACCGCTTTCAGACCCAGAATCAACAGTCAACACCTTCTTAATATTCTGATCACCATCAGGCAACCATTGATTTATTTTGTGATCAATTGAAATAACATTTCTTACATTTTAAAGAAACAATACAAAACAAAAATAATACCTCAGGATATGGGGGTCCAAATTAACAAACAAAACAACCGATAACTAATTTAAGACAAACTAACTTACCTAACAAAATAAACATTCCCAAAAGAAAAAAAATACATATTACTTCCCTTTCTTCCTGCCTACCCACCAAAACAGGAGAAAAAGTTTCTAAATAAAATACATCCCCACACCTTACTCATACCAGCAACTTATTTCACATTATAAACATGAAACCAATAGAAGTCAGAAGCCCCTGGTATCTGGGACTGGAGCAGCTCAAGTGAGACATGTCGTCTCCCCTCTCCCTTGCCTTCTGGTCGGTTGCAGCCAGTCTTTATTGCTCAGTTGATTAGCTGCACAGATTAGACTCAGGTTGCATCAATCTGTAAACAAAAGAAATCAGGAAACAGAAAAACTGCAATATAGAAAAAAAATAATAAAACAGCCACGGGACGTAACTTTTTAACGATTTGTAATTGCAGCAAATTGTTTGGAAGCATTAAAAGTGTCCAAGAAGACAACCAAAATCTTTACACATAATGACCCAGAGACTGTTTAGATGATGTCACTGATGACATGATGACGGATGTTTACTGTATGATGACCGAAATGGCCTTAATTACCAAGCACGCACAAGACGTCAACATGACGTCAGATTGATGGTTTACCCCTAACGCCATGGGGATGCTGCATTTTGTTTGGAAATGAAAATCGGTTTGACGTCAGAACCCAACGTCCAATGACAAACCTAAAATTAACCAAATATCAACGTCTAATGATGTTACAGCTTGAGGTTGTGTGGACATTACCACTATGACGTCAATCAGATTTTGGATTTAAGTTGCCATAACAGATATATAAATGTCAGTATTTGATGTCAAAATGACGTTTGTTTAAGATGTTGGCTCGACATTGGAATTTGGTCATTTTTGGTCATATTTGAAGTCATTTTTGGACATTAAAATGAGATTGTCTTTAGACGCTGGCTAGACATTGAAATTTGGTCACCTGACATCACTACCTAAATCTATCCTAATATTAACATCCTATGACGTTGTGTGCCTCCTGGGCAATAACTAAATGCACTACAGAATATAACGTTTGCACACATACATGCACAAATTACATGTAAATCAACTTTTTACAGGGTAAAGGCCCGTAGACACCGAGTCGTTTTTAGTTTGCGATTATCGTCAGGTTTTTTTCGAGACATTTTTCCATATTCAAACCCAAGCGATTTTTACTGTAGTCAAGTATGCCAAATTTCTACCTGACCTTAGATGGTGCTACACAACTTTAAGCTCCTGACACCCGCTTGTAACAGAAGAAGACATGAAGTTGACACGATTGTTGTTAAAGTTACCGAGCTCCAGCTCTAGCGATGAAGAAATGATTATTGTTGACCAGAGCAATAAACAGCTCCACACTCATGTCACCTTCTTCTTTAATGTGCGCTCGCATTGAAAGTTTTGTGCTTGAGCTCCTCTAAGTGTAACTTCAGCTAAGTGACTTCAGCAGATTTGTGCACGTGAACAAAAGTGCCAATCTGATTAGTGGAGAAGGTTTAGACATGGCGCGTTAAACAAAAAAAAATTAGCATGAGACGTTTCTTTAAAAATTACGCTTTTACCCCTGCCATTTTGCGCGTTGTTGTGCACGATCACATTGGCACCATTTATTTAGTCACGAGGCGTTAAACGTCGACGGAAAACGCAAGAAAAAAAGTGTCCCGGTGTGCACGGACCTCAATACTCACTATTCATTACTCTGGAGTACTTATGAAAGGTCTACTTTTTACTCATACTTTGAGTAATATTTACAACATAATTTTACTCTACTTCCATTACATTTTTTAGGCCAATAATAGTACTTTTAGTATGCTTTTTCAGTACTCTTTTCTCTACTAATTGCCAAAAACAAGAAACAATACATTAGTGACTGAAGGTCGAAGGAAAGTAGTGCGGTAAAAGTACTGATACAGCGCAAAAAAATGTGTAAGCTAAAGAATTCAATTCAATTCAATTCAGCTTTATTTGTATAGCGCTTTTACAATGTAGATTGTGTCAAAGCAGCTTCACATAAATGGTCATAGTAACTGGAACAGTGTGGTTCAGTAACTGGAACAGTGTGGTTCAGGTTTTAGTGTTTAAGTTCAGTTCAGTTCAGTTTAGCTCAGTTCAGTGTGATTTAATCATTACTGAGAGTTCAAACACTGAAGAGCCAATTCATCGATGCGTGGCTCTACCAATCCTGAACCATGCGAGGCAGTGGCGACAGCGGAGAGGGAAAAAAAACTTCACCTGATGGGAGTGAAGAAAAAAAACCTTGAGAGAACCAGACTCAGTTGGGCACGACCATTTTAATTTCTCCGCTGGCCAAAAGTCTTGTGCAGAACTTCATTCGTCGTGGTTTAGGCTGGAAGATGGCCTCAGCGAAGACTCGTCTGTCCCTGGAGCGTCGCTGGAATCAGACTTATGTACGCAAGAAAAAGTACGCATTTCTATAATTATTATAAAATTACAATTATTGAGAAAAACTACTGAATTACAGTAGCTCCAGCATTTGTAATTTGTTGCTTTACACCACTGAATATTGTGCAGCCCTACATGTTACATATATGTAGTATCTGCCAATCAATCTTCGTATTTGACATCTATATTGCAAATAAAATTGCAGTGACATAAATGGAAAACTATAATCCTCCACCAGCATTAATGTAGATCTTTTACTTCTATGCACCGTACACTAGATTTGCATCTTTTTTTTTTTTTTTTTTTTTTTTTGGCTTTTTTTTTAAGTCCAGGCGATTGAAAGCACATCGCCCCTCCTTTCATTTACTTTTGGCCTTTTTGAATATTTTACTCCATAATTCGCTGGAAGCTGCTTCATGCATGCGTTTCCACTCAATTTCAGACCCATTTGCGGACCGATGTTGCAGTAATAGCTCTATTTTGTAATACCTGTTTTCAAGCTGCAGGCAATCTGGACTCCGGCTTTTGTACCTGTAAGATCGTCCATTTTTCATGCCTTCCCAAAGAGATGAAAAATCATATTTCATCAGAGGGAGTGAGGCTTGCCATCTCTGGGAACTGAAGGGCAAATAGATATTAATAGCACAGTTAAGGATCAGAATCAATGTCCCCCAACAATCCTTTAAAAGACATTTCATTAGCATAAGGACATCTGCTCATTATCTGCATAAGAGACGGATGGAGAGCCATTTTTTTCTCGACTCGATGCCACAAATGAAAAGCAATTACCTGAATAATAGAGCGAGCTGAGTTGAGCTTGTAGATGTTGTGTGCGATGATGGGCGTTGACAGTAAAACATTACATTTGTTAGAGGTTTTAATTATGGTTCTGAAGAACAGAGAGTTTTGTGCTTATGTTTTGCTAAATATAATCTAGAGTGGGAAGTCATATTAATTTGATGTATTTAGAAAATTATTATTAAAAATTAAGCACAATGGTATGCAATAATGAACAATTATACAGACCGATATGTATTTATTTATTTATTTGTTTATTTATTTATTTAAAAAGCACTATCAACCACAGCTAAAATTTATTTATTTATTTATTTTATTTATTTTATTTTATTTTAAATCATTTTA